CACCTTGATTTCGCAAGGAAATCCTTGTATATAAATCAATAAACTATTTAAGAATTTCATTTTAACATTAATATTTAAAAATCTAATTAAGTGCATTCATAAAATTCAATCTTTTAATGTAAACAAGGGTTTTTTAATGTAAGGCCGATTTGTTTTAGAATTTTTGATGTTTTATTAAAATATAAAGATTATCAAAAGGGTTGGTTCAAGTTGATTCAATGATAAATAGTTTAATATCGTTTAAGCAAGTATCGAATTTAAAGTCTCGTATAAGCAGAAAATTTATCGTTGAGAAACTCACCTGCCAAAACCACGTGTGACAATGATCAGTCCAGATTAATAAAGATAAAACCCTAAAAAATCGAGAATGCAACGAAAAATCTAAAGATTAATTTGATTTTTAATTAATATTTGATTTTAATTTAAGTCTTATTATATATAATTATTATTCAAATATACTTCAATTATTAATACTCCTAACTATATTTATAACTTCAAAAAATCACATATTAAGAATTCATTATATTTTTCACCCAGTAATTATTCAAAAAGTCAATATAATCGGCCCACTCAAATGCCTAGAACGTGCCGTTTTTAGATCCTAAATAGAATCGCAACTACTTTAGAGGCTAACCAATGCTCAAATCCCCATTGAGAAATGGTCATCTTTTTTGTTTTTGATTTTAAAAAAAATATTTTAACTTTTAAAAGATTTTTTTATGTTTTTTTATTTTGAAATTTTAAGTATTTATCAAATTAAATCAACTGTAAATATTAATTACTTCATATTTTTTATAATAACATCAATTATTTTATCATTTCACGTTACAATAATATAAATACACTGCAAATTATTAAAAAATAGAAAAATATTAAAGATCTGTTTTTTTGTTAATTTACAAAATTTATAAAAAATAAATAAAAGTTCAAGAAAATATATTTTTAAACTAATTTGAGCTAAAGTTATTACTAAATCTTAAAAGTACATAAAATAAAGAGAGACTACATAAGTTTGATTGAAATGTTGTGTGTTATAATTCGAACAAGGTTGGTATATTACGTCGGTTCGGTGCATTCTTTTTTCTCTAAAATAGATTTAGATGGATTTTTTAACACGTCATTACCGATGTTTCATTTTGTATGTAATTGAATGAATCATAAAAAATCACCGTTAAAAAAACCAAAAGTCAATATTGGAACTTACAAGCTAGCCAATGAAAACTATTACTCTTTTCCAACTTGATGTGGAAAAAATAAATTTATTTTTTCATATTCTATTTTTTTAATTAATCACTAATATCTAATGTATTAATCAATTAATCCAGATTGTATATTGTAAAGGTGAAGATGACCCTCCCAACTCAGTTTGCTCCATTAGAAAACGCTAGGATTTAAAACTTTAACCTTACTTAAAAAATCTAATATCTTATCCCACTAAATAAATTACAATTATTGATCTCCTACGTTATCATGATATTGACGAAATTGTTTTTAAATATTAGGATTAAATTCACCTTTTGGCTTAAAAATCTAAACCCACTTAAAAAGTAATTATAATTAAACTAAAAGTCATTTTAGAAACACAAAGGAAATTTCACACCCATGCCTAAATTAGTCAAAAGCAAACACAGAGACACGAAGTCTATAAAAAAACTTTATTTTATATATACATGCGTGATCAAGTAAATTGTCTTGTAATATGATCTAGATTCGAATTTAATTTTTTTAAAGAGTTTTATACAAGTTGTTCATCTTTTTCTTTGAACATATGGTCTATAAATAATAACTTATATGTTGGGTTTAGTTAAAATTATTGACGTAAGAGTTTATATATTATACTGTCAAACAACGACCAATGGATTTCAACTACCATATCAATACTAAAAGAAATAATGCATATTTTATAAATCAAATTACTTCATTGGTTAAAGAGAGTGTTGTTTACTCTAGAGATCATATGTTCAAGCAGTTACGTCTTCGAATATGTGTGCATTGTTAATGGCTAAAAATTACATAAAACAAATAAACACATGGTAATAAAAAGGGGGAAATTAACTTAATTTACTCCTTTTGGTTGAAACTTAGATTTCACTCGAAAATTAATCAGTATTTTCTTATTAATATTTTTGTGTGTGTATAGGCCATTTAATTAGTAACTAGCTAGGGATTCCCTAATTTAGAATCATGAGACTGGTGCCCTACATCCAAATATTATTCAACTATTATTATGTTTAGATGGAAACTCTATAAGGAAACCAGGAGAAACAAAAATAAAGTTTTTCTAAAAAAAAACTAAACTCTCTTCTTTCTTATTTTATTTATAAAAAAAGCAAAGAATTTTTAAGTTCAACTTATGTAATTTATATAATCATCCTTAAAGAGGAAATATATTAGTTTGATATACGATGATATTTCATTTTTATTAGTGACGGATCCAAAAATTTAAGAATGAGATCCAAAACTTTAATATACTTTTCTTAAAAATAACGGGTATGCAAATTTTTTTTATTTTCCCTTAACTTATTAAACTAAATTTAACTATTTTTCTTAAATAATAGGAATACACTTGACCCCTAGAAGGCTTATCGTATCCGTCTCTTATTCGCATAGATAAAAAAGTATTTGAGTCTATAGTTCAAAAATAATTAATCTCGAGTCTTGACTTAGAGAATCTCCTACTTGTATAACACGGTATTCTCTACTTTTTATGGTGCATTTGAAAAGTAAATCATAAGCATTCAAAAATGAAAGCTATAAATATAAAATAAATAACATACAAGATACAAGATTTATAATAGTTCAATATTGTTTATCTTAGTATATAAGAGAAATAATAATACACAACATACGTAGATATTACGAAAAATATAAATACATATAATTTTTTATATCCTAAAACTCAATATATATACCCTAAAAACTTAGTATATATTAAACACTCTTTTCGCATCTCTACAAAATTATCTCTGTAAAATATATTCTAATAGTTTTAGAGATCACAAAAAGAATTACATCTCTATAAATTAATTCTCCCCCATAAATTTAAAAATCAAGATTTACTTTATATTTAAAGAGAAAACAAACTTTGTCATCAAGAACCCTTACCCATGAGAATTCTTAACTAATTAAACTTAATCATTAAGTAATGCTCAACCACTAGAAATATAATAAAATTTAACTTAATTACCAATTAGAATTTAAGTCAATATGTAATAATTACTTCATTCGTACAAAATTCATCCCAACATTACTATTCAAGTTTTCAACAACTTCATTTTTTATAATTAATAGCATTATTAATCTTATAATTAATATTATTTTAAAATTTAAACTTATAGAATTATGTAATTATAATTTACATTTGGCTATGTAATAATTTCATTTTATTGGTTAAACGAATCTATAAAATTTGGACGTATAGAGCTATACAATCATCATATTAATAATTACACATATTCATATAATTACACAATAATATTTTTTTATTGCTAAAAGTGATTATAAAGTAGTATATGTTTTAATTATTTACAACTATTTGACAATGAACGCTAAGTCACAATTGCAGTTCGTTGGTGCTCGAACCCATAAGCTCTAAAAACAACAACGATTCCTTTAACTATTGAAATAAGTTGATTCGTGCAATTACACAATAATATTTAAACACGTCCTTCTTCTGTTTTCTAATACTTGGTCATAAATAGATCATATTGCTTATAAAAGTAGACAAAAGCCTTCCAAAATCTAAACTACCAAATTATGAGATGTATATGGTGGCCTAATTACCCCATACCCACCCTACCAAATGATAAATAAATTAGGACATCGAAATAGTAAATGTAACATGAAAAGCTTACCAAAAATGTTCATGACAAGACCTCAATCCAGCACTCTCTGGAGAAAACTAGCTTCAAATCTTATTATCAAAATACCAGGTCCTATCCCTGCCGTGAATGGTAAAATATTTTAAACATTGCTTTCTTGAGTGTAGTAGAAAATATTGTCATCATCACTCAATAAAAACAAAGACTAAAAATAAAGTTTTAAATATAATAGGAAAACTACTAGTAAACTTTAACCTGTTTGAATATATACTAAACTTTTCATTTCAATAACATATCAACTATAGACAATCTAAAATAATAATAAAAAATCATTACTTTCCTTTCATTGGTGATATTTCTATTGCTTCAAAAAATAGTATATGCTCCTTTCTTTTATAAGGAACATATACATAAATGTGGAAGTTGAGTCACATAATATTCTATTTATTATTATGAAACAACTCTAACTTTGTTTATACATAACATGACATATGGGTTTTATACAATTCATATAGCATCCATGTAAATTAATTAATCATTGAACATGAGCAGCAATTGGTTGAAAAATACAACAAAATTTCATTTTTTTTAATATTGGAGGTCTTAAAGTCAATACCGATATTATATTGTTTTGTAACTTTTAGAAAATATATCTTCTTATGGTTATTTTAATGAAGTAAAACAAATTAAATGGTGAGGGCACGTGAATTATATAGCACGAGATTTGTGCTTCGAATCATCAATAAACTGTGAAAAAACGAACGGCTTCCTTAATTTTGTTTCTTCAAACCTTTACTTACACGTGACCAAAAAAAAAAGACTATCAGCCTCTTTTATATCTAAATAACGAAAAATAGAAAGAATAATAAAATCCGTTAACAAAAATTGTAATTTTTATTAAAATAAAAAAGGAAAAAAGAAACAAATACGGTCACCGACGGGGGTGGACCCGAACTGACACGTGGCCACGTGACCGATACTCTTACAGGTGGCATTGCTGTCACATTTTCTTATTTCGTAATTATTTATTATTAAGAAAAAGGAAAATGAAAATTACAGCAAAACAAGCCATCCCCTTCAAACTCTATAAATAAGTAACCATTCTTGCCTCTAAGTTCTCCTCTTTTCTGCTCATATTTCGTTTTCTCACATTTCCTCTTCCATTCTGTTGATTCTCGTAACAAGTGCATTTTACAAACCACTTCTTCTCTGGGTTTCACCTCCTTTGCCAGGTTCGTTTCCATTTCATTTGTTGGATTCTCATTTTTTTTCTTTGATGCTCTTAAGGATTGAGATCTCTAGCTATCTCAAATCTAATTAAGGTTTTAAGCTCTTCTCGATCACACATGCATGTCAGATGAATATGAATATGAAAACATTCCCCAGTTTTATATTTCTCGCCTTTGGGGCTGGGCTCTATGTTAAAATTTGTGGGGTCTTCTTTAATTATTTTCGAAATGGAAGATTTTCCTGTTTGGGTGAATGGGAAGAAAATGATTATTGATTGATTGTTTATTTGGTTTTTTGTAAAAGTTTCTATTTTGTCGGTTCCTACCCATGAAGAACTATGTAATTCAAAATTATTGAAACTTTAGAAACGTGTAGTGGTGTTAAATATTCAATAGTAAAATTTGCCCAAAATAATTATTTATATGTTTGGTTTATTTTCTTTCAAGACTTGACATTTTCTTTGGTCTGGTCCATTGGAATGTCGTTATTTTAACACATTCATAAGAAGAAATTTCGACCCTAGTCTGGATAGTTTAGTTATAATAATTATTGCATGAGATTATATATCATGAATAGTATTCCTGCTCTTGATATATATATATATATATATATATATATATTTAAATTTTCGACCGTCACTGTTTTATTTACAAAAGTTCGGTTTGAGGGGATAAATCTAATCTTTTGGTAGTTGCAGTTTCTTGGAATCGGAGTTAATAGTATCAGTTGGTTGTTTCTTTCTCCTTTTGATGTGTTTTTAATACTTTGATGTCGAAGTATAGGCACTGATGGACCGAGTCTCTTACAAATTTTAAATTATCATATATTTTAAATATTTTATTTATATTTTTTATTGATAGTATGTTTTGTCTCTAAAATTTTGTATGTTGTCATCTATTAAAGTTTTAAAAGTTTACCTTAAACATAAAATCATGTGTCCGTCTTTATCTATTGGTATAGATTTGCAATGTGATCACATCCTTTTCATATATTTATAGTAAATATTTTTAATCCTGTTTCCGGAGTTAAAAAAGTGAGAAAAATAATTGCTTTTCATATATATACAACTTGGTGAGTCTATTTCATTTAGATTTTTAAGTATTTCTTAATTGTAGATATATCTACGATCTGGACAAAGAAATGCAAATGAGGTGATACCCCTTACTCTGGTGATGAAATAAGTGGATCCGATAGTACTTATGAGATACGAAGAATCAATCTCGTAAGTTTTTTTTCCGGGTCCATCTAAAATTGGGTGACTCATTTGTCATACTGGTGAAACCCAGTTAGTATTTTGTCCAGAAAGCAATGTTCTTAAGGCCATTATCATTGAATTACTATTTATACATATATATATATATATGTGTGTGTGTGTGTGTGTACGTATTATAATGGTTCTTTCCACCTTTCTACATGTAGGTTTTAGCACATTTCTGATCAAAGTTCGAAAACCATACTACTTTTCTTTGCAGAACCTCTGCGCGAATAATGTACTGTTATCTGCCATAAATGTGGTGTAGCTTTGGAGATGAGAAGGTACACATGTTTTACTTGAGAGAGAAGAACTGCAAAACTCAAATTTACAACTTGCTGATATTTGATATTCTAAATTTATGCTTCGATGTTCGATTGCCAGATTCAAGGACGCCCGCCATTGATGGACTGCTATCCTAACAGTAGTAGTGATAAGAAAACATTGAAGTGGTGGTTTTTCATAGACAAGAGGGTCGGCTAAAAAGATTGACAACGATCCAAGGTTCATAACTGTACTTGACAAAGCTGATTCAAACGTAAAAAATATATAGTTTAACCTGTTATTAGTGTATTTAAAAGTGGTCCGAAGCTAATGGAGTTGAAGTCAAATCATTCATCTCCTCTTCTCACTGACCCTATTCCAGTAAACAATTCGAGACTAGGCATCCATTCGAATCTGCTTTCATATCAGCAATCAGGTGGATCTTTACCCTCGGGCAAGTATATGACAATTCCCAGGAAGAAACCTGGAAAGCTTGAGGATGCTTGGTCCAATGGTTGGCTAGAGGCGATGAGATCATCATCGCCCCCTCGGAAGAAGTTAATTAAGCACAAGGACTTTAATATTGATGCTTCTGCGGATGATTTCGATATTGCTTACGGCACCTGGATGGTAATAACTAATTGTTGATGGATATATATAATGTTACTTGTATTATACATTTCACTAGATAAACTTGTTTGCTTGCTCTTATGCTCTGATTTGATTATGCAGATTAAATATCCCTCTGCACTTAAATCTTTTGACAAAATCTCGAAAAATGGCAAGAACAAAAAGATTGCAGTTTTCCTAGATTATGATGGTACTCTTTCCCCCATAGTAGATGATCCCGATCGGGCATTTATGTCTGATTCTGTAAGTATGACATTCCATTTTGGTGCATGTACATAATATTCTTTGGTCGTTATCCATCATTCCTTGATTGAAATTTAAGGGGGAAAATATCATCTTACCATATTTTCAGATGCGTTCTGCTGTAAGAGAGATTGCAAAGCATTTCCCAACAGCAATTATTAGTGGCAGAAGTCGTGATAAGGTAGATGGTAGATCCTTCAGGAACTTTTGTTTTTTCTCTATAATTATCGTCTGAATCCGGGTAACAACATGGTATGATCAATTGCCTTTTTTTTCTTTCTATTTCAGGTTTATGAATTGGTAGGACTAACTGAACTTTATTATGCCGGTAGTCATGGGATGGACATTATGGGCCCTGTGAGACATGCAAAGTCTGATGACCATCCAAATTGTATTAGATCAACTGACCAACGGGTAAGACTCATAATACTTTGAATGCTTCTCGAATTTATTGTCTCGTTTTCATATTAATCGTCACCTTATATGACAGGGCAAGGAGGTAAATCTTTTCCAGCCCGCTGGAGAATTCATCCCTATGATTGACGAGGTCTCTGTAAATGTTACGATTGTACTCGTACATCTTCCATTCACCTCTTTTCTAGACCGTGCCTTAACAAAATCGAATCGTGAACACTGTTGTTTGGTTTGGTTTGCAGGTTTTAAAAACCCTTGTCGAGAATACAAAGGATATTAAAGGTGCAAAGGTTGAGAATCACAAGTTTTGCACTTCTGTACATTACCGTAATGTAGAAGAGAAGGTGAGAGACATAGTTCTAAACATCTAAACCAAAATTAGCCTAGTTGGTTACTAGTTCCAGCATCTAATTGCAAATGTTGTTTCCTATTTCAGAACTGGCCAACGATCGCACAACGCATTCATGATATTCTGAAAGACTATCCTCGTTTAAGATTAACTCATGGGCGGAAGGTATGATATTCATTGATATGTGTTGCCATTATTATAACTATGCTATTTTACTTCATAACATATATGCTTATTATCCTTGTTCTACAGGTTTTAGAGATCCGTCCTGTGATTGATTGGAATAAAGGGAAGGCAGTTGAATTTCTGCTTGAATCCCTGGGTAGTTCTCTTTCCCTTCATCGGTATTTGCCGGTATTTGATGTTGATACAATATGGTCTAGCTTATCAGTGTAACTTATGTGAATCGATGCAGGATTAAGTGATAGAGACGATGTGCTCGCGATCTATATCGGAGATGACAAGACTGATGAAGATGCATTCAAGGCAAGTATATAAACTAGAATTGCAGATTTTATTGAAAATTTCTCCAGATTCTGAGTAGAGTTTAAACATTGTAAACCAGGTTTTCAGGGAATCAAATCTGGGTTATGGAATATTGGTGTCCTCAGTTCCCAAAGAAAGCAAGGCATTTTTCTCTCTGAGGGAACCATCAGAGGTACAGCAAAATGAAGATTACATTTTTGTTTCAAAACGAAGACTAACATGGGGGTTATGGTGCAGGTGAAGAAATTTCTCAAGGCATTGGTGACATGGAAGATGCTTGAAGAAAAGCTGCACAACAAAATTTAATGAAAGAGAAGCGCTTTAATAATATTCTTACAAGTTTTCTATTCAATTTGGATTCGAAACGTGCAATGAATCCAGCCAGCCATTCCAATGCAAATGGCCACATTATTTCAAATCTTTTGTCAGAATGTTGAATATATGGATAACAAATTATTATTTATATGTTCCATGAAGCAATTCTCTCTGGTCCACATTGCTTTGAGCTTCTGTGAATGCACAACTGATTAATCCTGTCAATAACAGCTTCCGACAGCACTAACTAACGACTCCAAAACGCATGTATGCCAAAGAGGACAGACTGGATGAGCTGACATCTCCCCACATATGGCGACAAACTTCCACCTCTATAGCTTGCAGGCGATGCTATCGATTAAGAGAGCACAGTCTCGCACAGTTAGCTTTCAAACTACTAAAGGGACCCCCTAAGTAACGCACAGGCAACGTACCACTCCTCATGCCCGTAGCCTCCCTTACAACCTCCAACTCAATCTCGTCCATGCCAGAAGAAAAAATTTCAATTTCCCCCGCGTTCAATCGAAGACTAGAGAACTCTTAAAATTTCAACAAAACACTTCAAACTCCTATCATTGAGTCACTGTCCCCCCTTGAGAAGACCAATAAATCATCTGCGAAACAAAGGTTGGTAAGCCCCATACTACGACATTTCAGATGATAACGAAAGACACCACAAGCCGCAACTCTATCCAGTAGTCGAGATCAGGGTTTTAAATAGCGTTCGCGATCACTTTTTCGGTCGCGTCACGTTTATCACGGTTGCAGACTTAACGGATGCCATCGCGGTCACTGAGGGTGTCGCGGTCGTGAATTTTTTTAAATTTTACACAATTTATCTTAAAACATAATAAAAATAATTATAATTATAATGAATCATTTTAATGATTTTTAAAATATTTTCTAAGTGAAATTGACATATATATAATATAGTTTAAAAAAGAAAACAAAACAAAACGTAAACAATGTAGATTATTTGATTTTTTAGGCTTTTCTAAGTAGGATATTTATTTAAAATAAAATAATTCAAAATATTAAAATATAGAATTAAAATGACTAAAATATAATAAAGTAAAGCATAGAGATCAAAATAAAATAATAACAGTGAGTAGATTATAAATAAAAATTGTGACCAAAATAAAAGAAAATAAAAATATCAGGCGTTTTTCTTGAAATATCATTGGTAACCGGTATATTTACCGATTTAACACCGGTAAGATTATATTTCTCGATCTAACACCCGTAGAAGTAAAGTGCGCCCCTGACCCGTGCTATACGCTGATTTGGCGCCACGTGGGGTATAGCGCGCCCCTGCACCGCGCTATTTGCTGACTGAGTTACACATGGGGTATAGCGCGCCCCTTGAACCGCGCTATATCTGTGTAGGCAATTATATTTAGCGCAGACCCTGATCCGCGCTATACCATTATTACATATACCGCGGTGCAGGTACCGCGCCTTGTATGGCTATATATACCCTTCTCCCCCGGTTATGTTCCTCACATCTCTCTTCTTAACTTATAAATTAATACAATAATTCCGTCAACGAGTCAATAATTTTGACAATCTTTTCATATTTAGTTTAGAAGTTCGTGCGATTTTTCGTTATAAGGTAATTTCGTTATAATTTTTTTATTATACTTATTATTTAATCTGTGTCATTTGAAAAAATATTATACTAATTATTTTCAATTATATTATTTAAATTATTTACGTTGATGTGTAAAAATTTATTGTGTTATATTTTCGTTCATATATAATTTATTTAATCAGGTTTGTTTCAGTTATTTTTTTGCAGATATAATATTGCCGCACTTTTAAACTCAAATATGGCGCGACTTTCAGCTATTATTTATTATGATGGTGAAATTCGAGAAGATGAAACCGGCATTGTTTTCGTATCAAATGAGCGTGTTAAAATATCATTCAAGAAACATAACTCTTGAGGAGTTGATAACGAAGATTTCGAGGAAGATTCATGTTGGAAGTAGTAGAAGAATGTCGTCGTTGTAGTACAAATTTCCAACATCATTGTTGCCATTAACTTATACAGCGTTCAAACTTTCGAACAATGATGATGTTGAAATGATAGTTGAAGCTCAAAGTAATTATTCAGACGCCGCTATTGAGATGTATGCACATTTTGTTCAAGTGCGTGCTGTTCGGGGTCAATCATTAAGCTCTCACTATGGGCTGGCTGAACAAGTTGATCAAGTTGACAGCCCGACTACAGTAATGTGTAATGATTTTAATGCCATAATGGGGAGACATTCATCCGCAACTCCTTACGATATGTACCGAGGTGGGTCCACGAGCAATCCGTATGGCAACACTGCGTCCAGTTCAAGGGGAAGGCATTCATCTGCAAATTTCTTTGACTATATGGAGATGTCATCGACGCAACCATCTGTGCAATTTCCATTTGACTCGATTGCTTCAAGCTCCAGGGGAGGCATTCGACTACGAGCTTTTTCGATCTTAATGTCGATATGCCTTCCAGTTCAAGGGGAAGGCATGCAAGTAGTATGTTCTTTGACCTAAATGTGGAGAGCATGGAGGAGCCATCATCTCCACCAGAAGAACCGCTTCGTGAGCCTAGTACGGTTGGTGCTGAGACTGGACTATTCATTCACCCAGAATCACCAATTCAACTCCGATGATGATGAAGTTCCAGGAAATGTGGCACAAACTAACCCTCATACACACATGTATGAAGCTGATTATGGTGCAATGTACGGGCTAAAATTTGCGGATATGCCTCATCTCGGTGACTATGGATATTACTCATTAATAAATAATGGTGAGTTATCTTTAGGCATGGAGTTTTCAAGCATAGAAGAAGCGGTTATGGCTATAAAAAATTACAATATCCGTAGTTCTGTTCAGTCCAGAGTAAACCGATCGACGACCGAAAAATATGTATACTACTATGCCCGACGCGAAAACGGATGCAAATGGATGGTTCGCGTATCGAAAATGAAGAGGAAAAAAAACATATGGGAACTAACAGTATACAACGGTCCTCACACTTGTTGTGCTGGAGGGGTCAACCAAGATCATCCCAACTTGGACTCTGAAGTGATATGCCAAGCCATCATGCCCATGGTAAAAGAAAGCTCTCATATAGCTGTTGTAGTGTTGATTTCAGCTATACAATCGTAGTATGGGTACACTGTCTCCTATAAAAAAGCTTGGTTGGCAAAACAAAATTCCATTGTCAAACTTCATGGCGAATGGGATGCATCTTACAACGAACTTTCAGACTGGTTTAGGCTGGTGCGGAGGTTGAATCCTGGGACAATTGTGGACTTTGAAACCTCCTATGCATACCATAATAATCGAGTTCTCCGCGATCGATGCCAATTCTACCGGGTTTTTTGGACTTACCCACAGTGCGTTAATACTGTCAAATACTGCAAGCCTGTGGTCCAGATCGACGGGACTTTCTTGTATGGAAAATACAAGCAAGTTTTATTATTGGTAGTTGTCCAAGATGGAAATCGCAACATTCTTCCAGTTGCTTTTGCTCTTGTCGAATGAGAATATACAGATTCTTGGGCTTTTTTTCCTCCGAAATTTACGTGCACATGTTATCACGAGGGAAAAAATCTGTGTCGTTTCTGATCGCGGAGCTGGGATCAAAGCAGCAATGGAGTCTTTGGGTCCAATGTGGCAACCACCCTTTGTCCAACATAGGTATTGTCTCCGACACATTGCTGCGAACTACCATGGAAGATACAAGAAGAATAATGAGCGTCAATTACTTGTGCGCATGGGTAAGTGAAACTGATGTAGTTTGTTTTCTTTCGATCCTTTTGATCAGGTTAGTAAGTTATACATTTTTGATCAGGTTACAAACTTCTTCCTCGAACATTTGAATCAATGCTTCAAGATTGCGGGCGAAGAACGAGGAAGGATACGATTACATTAGCCTCATCGATAAAGAAATGTGGACGAACGCATATGATGGTGGATATCGATATGGACACATGACGACCAACTTGGCTGAGGCAATCAATTCAACCCTAAAGGGTGCACGTCACTTACCTATAGCGACTTTGGTAAAAACTACATATTTTCGTTTGGGGGTGTTTTTTGCGAAGCTCGGGGGACAAGCTCAAACCTGGATTCAAGGCGGTCATGTCTATCACCCTAGATTAGTTGCAGATCTACAGAAAAAAATTGTTGCATCAAATGGAATGTCTTTAACAAGCTTCTCTAGAAGACATGAAATGTTTCGTGTCACAGAGTTACCGCGACCTATTCAAGGGATTGAAGTTGTGTCGTTAAGAGTAAATCTAAGGGACAGAACGTGCGACTGCAGGTTTTTTCAAGCTTTGAAGTATCCATCCTCTCATGTGATAGCAGCTTGCTCGCATACACGTCAAGACTATAACCATTTTATGGATCCCATATACCTACTATCTGAAGTTTTTAAGGTATACGAATTTAAGTTTCCCCCCATAGGTAATGATAAAGACCCTGATGAGGTTCAAGATTGGCTTCCGATTGTACCAAATCCGAGTTTAATGAGGGAGCGTGGTCGTCCAAAATCCAATCGAATTCATTGCGATATGGATATTCGAGAAAGATCTAGACAAGACAGAAGATGTGAGCATTGTAGAAACCCAGGACACACTAGAAAAACATGTCCACTTTGTTGTTATCAAGTAACAATTGATGAGGAAATGATGTATTTGTTTATCAAATAATAATTCTTATACTTTAATTTGCATTTACTTCAAGTTAATGTCCTTCGATAATCGATGATGAAGATTAAAAAAACGAAAAAATCATTAAATTTTATTAAATTAATAACAATTTGGTATTTGAATATAATTTTAAATACAACAAACTTACAATAAGTATTAAATGGTAAATGATAACCAAATTACAATAACTGATATTAAATTGTAATAAACAAAATGAACTGAAATACATTAAAAAAAGTCCAATAAATTTAACAAAATAAAGTAAGTATTAAATGAGAAATAATAAAAAATTACAATTTAACAAAATAAAGTAAATACAAATATAATAAAAAACAAAATCTATCGATGCCTGCGACGCGAATGTGTTCCGCAAGGCGGTGGCTGTCGGTCTCGAGGAG